TTCACTTCGCTTCGCTTAGCTTCGCTTTGCTTCACTTAGCTTAGCTTAGCTTCAATTCGCTTCGCTTAGCTTCTCTTCTCTTTGCTTCCCTTAGCTTCGCTTAGCTTCGCTTCGCTTCTCTTCGCTTCTCTTCGCTTCGCCTCGCTTCGCTTAGCTTTGCTTAGCTTCGTTTAGCTTCGCTTTGCTTAGCTTCGCTTAGCTTCACTTCGCCTAGCTTTGATTAGCTTCGCTTAGCTTCGTGTTCCCTTTGCCTAGCTTCGCTTTGCTTCGCTTCGATTAGCTTCGCTTCGCTTCGCTTAGCTTCGTGTTCGCTTCGCTAAGCCTTGCTTCCCTTAGCTTCGCTTAGCTTTGCTTCGCTTCGCTTTGCTTAGCTTCGCTTCGTTTCGCTTTGCTTCGCATCGCCTTGCTTCGCTTTGCTTTGCTTCGCTTAGCTTCGCTTAGCTTCGCTTAGCTTCGCTTAGCTTCGCTTAGCTTTGCTTTGCTTCGCTTAGCTTTGCTTCGCTTAGCTTCGCTTCGCTTTGCTTAGCTTTGCTTCGTTTCGCTTTGCTTTGCTTCGCTTAGCTTCGCTTCACTTCGCTTCGCTTCGCTTCGCATAGCTTCGCTTCGCTTCGCTTAGCTTCGCTTAGCTTTGCAAAGCTGAGCTTAGCTTCGCTTTGCTTCACTTAGCTTCACTTCTCTTCGCTTCGCTTCTCTTTGCTACTCTTCGCTTCGCATAGCTTAGCTTCGCATAGCTTTGCTTAGATTCGCTTCGCTTCTCTTCGCTTCTCTTCGCTTCGCTTCCCTTAGCTTCGCTTCGCTTCCCTTAGCTTCGCTTCGCTTCTCTTCGCTTCTCTTAGCCTCGCTTCGCTTAGCTTAGCTTCGCTTTGCTTAGCTTCGCTTCGCTTTGCTTAGCTTCGCTTCGCTTCGCATAGCTTCGCTTAGCTTCGCTTTGCTTCGATTACCTTCTCTTAGCTTCGCTTAGCTTTGCTTCGCTTCTCTTCGCTTCTCTTCGCTTCGCTTCCCTTAGCTTTGCTTCGCTTCCCTTAGCTTCGCTTAACTTTGCATCGTTTCGCTTCGCTTCTAATAGCTTCGCTTCACTTCGCATAGCTTTGCTTTGCTTCTCTTCGCTTCTCTTTGCTTCGCTTTGCTTCGCTTCGCTTAGATTCGCTTAGCTTCGCTTTGCTTCTTTTCGCTTCTCTTTGCTTTGCTTTGCTTAGCTTCGCTTCGCTTCGCTTAGCCTCGCTTTGCTTCCCTTAGCTTCGCTTAGCCTCGCTTCGCTTTGCTTCGCTTAGCTTTGCTTCGCTTCGCTTAGCTTTGCTTCGCTTCGCTTAGCTTTGCTTCGCTTCGCTTAGCTTTGCTTCGCGTCTCTTCGGTTCTCTTCACTTCTCTTCCCTTAGCTTCGCTTAGCTTCGCTTCGCTTTGCTTCCCTTAGCTTCGCTTCGCTTATCTTCGCTTACCTTAGCTTCCCTTAGCTTTGCTTCGCTTCGCTTCGATTAGCTTCGCTTCGCTTGGCTAAGCTTCCTGTTTGCTTCGCTTAGCTTTGCATAGCTGCGCTTAGCTTCGCTTTGCTTCACTTAGCTTCGCTTCTCTTTGCTTTGCTTCTCTTTGCTTCTCTTCGCTTCGCTTAGCTTAGCTTCGCATAGCTTCGCTTAGATTCGCTTAGCTTTGCTTCGCTTCTCATCGCTTCTCTTCGCTTCGCATCCCTTAGCTTCGCTTTGCCCTTCTTAGCTTCGCTTAGCTTCGTTTCGCTCCGCTTATCTTTGCTTCGTTTTGCTTCGCTTCTATTAGCTTCGCTTAGCTTCGCTTAGCTTCGCTTCGCTTTGCATAGCCTCGCTTTGCTTCTCTTCGCTTCTCTTCGCTTAGCTTCGCTTAGCTTCACTTAGCTTCGCTTTGCTTAGCTTCGCATCGCTTCGCATAGCTTCGCTTAAATTCGCTTCGCTTTGCTTCGCCTAGCTTCGCTTAGCTTCGCTTCGCTTCGCCTAGCTTCGCTTAGATTCACTTCGCTTCGATTTGCTTTGCTTACCTTCTTGTTCGCTTCGCTTAGTTCGCTTCGCTTCGCTTCGATTAACTTCACTTCGCTTCAATTAGCTTTGCTTCGCTTCGCTTAGCTTCGTGCTCGCTTCGCTTAGCTTCTCTTCACTTTGCTTCGCTTTGCTTAGCTTCCCTTAGCTTCATGTTCGCTTCGCTTCGCTTCGATTAGCTTCGCTTAGCTTCGTGTTCGCTTCGCTTAGCCTCGCTTCGCTTAGCTTAGCTTCGCTTCGCTTAGCTTCGCTTTGCTTTGCTTAGCTTCGCTTCGCTTAGCTTCTCTTAGCTACACTTCGCTTTGCTTAGCTTCGCTTAGCTTTGCTTTGCTTCGCTTAGCTTTGCTAAGCTTCGCTTAGCTTCGCTTCGCTTCTCTTCGCTTCTCTTCGCTACGCTTCCCTTAGCTTCGCTGCGCTTCCCTTAGCTTTGCGTAGCTTTGCTTTGCTTCGCTTAACTTCGCATCGTTTCGCTTCGCTTCAAATAGCTTCGCTTAGCTTCGCTTCACTTCGCATAGCCTCGCTTTGCTTCTCTTCGCTTCTCTTCGCTTTGCTTCGCTTAGCTTCGCTTCGCTGCGCTTTGCTTCGCTTAGCTTCGCTTCACATCGCTTTGCTTCGCTTAGCTTCACTTCGCTTAGCTTCGCTTTGCTTCGCGTAACTTTGCTTAGATTCGCTTCGCTTAGCTTTGCTTTGCTTCGCGTAGCTTCGCTTCGCTTCGCATATCTTCGCTTCGATTCTCTTAGCTTCGCTTAGCTTCGCTTCTCTTCTTTTCGCTTCTCTTTGCTTTGCTTTGCTAATCTTCGCTTCGCTTCTCTTAGCCTCGCTTTGCTTCCCTTAGCTTCGCTTCGCTTCGCTTAGCCTCGTTTCGCTTTGCTTGGCTTTGCTTTGCTTCGCTTCGCTTAGCTTCGCTTCGCTTTCCTTCCCGTAGCTTCGCTTCGCTTAGCTTTGCTTCGCTTCACTTCCCTTAGCTTCCCTTAGCTTCGCTTCGCTTCGCTTCGATTAGCTTCGCTTCGCTTCGCTTAGCTTCTTGTTTGCTTCGCTTCGCTTAGCTTCTTATTCGCTTCGCTTAGCCTCGCTTCGCTTAGCTTAGCCTCGCCTCGATTAGCTTCGCTTACCTTCGCTTTGCTTCGCTTACCTTCACTTTGCTTCCCTTAGCTTCGCTTCGCTTCGCTTTGCTTCGCTTAGCTTCGCTTAGCTTCTCTTAGCTTCGCTTCACTTCTCTTAGCTTCGCTTAGCTTCGCTTCGCTTCGCTTCGCTTCGCTTCGCTTCGCTTTGCTTTGCTTCGCCTCGCTTCACTTAGCTTTGCTTCGTTTCACTATGCTTCGCTTAGCTTTGCTTCTCTTTGCTGAGCTTCGCTTTGCTTCCCTTAGCTTCGGTTCGCTTCCCTTAGCTTCGCTTCGCTTAGCTTCGCTTCGCATACCTGCGCTTATCTTCGCTTTGATTCTCTTAGCTTCGCTTCGCTTCTCTATGCTTCTCTTCGCTTCGCTTCGCTTCGCTTCGCTTCGCTTCGCTTCGCTTCGCTTCGCTTCGGTTCGCTTCTCTTCGCTTCTCTTCGCATCGCTTGGCTTTGCTTCGCTTCCCTTAGCTTCGATTCACTTCCCTTAGCTTCCCTTAGCTTCGCTTAGCCTCATGTTTTCAACTTGCACGTATGGTTTGACAGTGTGTGAAAGAATTTGTGTGTGGTGTGTTCTGGAGTTTGGGAATGTGTTTTGTGTTTTTTTGTTTGAGCAGGTATTTTGTGATGATAGATCTTGAGAAGATCTTTCGGACGCAACAAGAATCGCTTCAATCGGAGCAAGAACGCGAAAGCTATGAAGATTCAATGTTCATGAGCTTGCGTTACAATTGCGGCGGTTACAAAGTGAAGTTGTGGGGTGACTCTATATGGAGTTGTGACTATTGGGAGTTGGGGAAATTCGTCACTCTACTGTAGCAGCTGCAAAATTGGTTGGGAACAACCAAGCTAGGTTGGCAAGGGTGGCCAACTTGGTTGGATTGGTTGGGAAGGGACAAATGTCAAAGTTGGGGTTCCTACAGGGAGGGAATGTTTGTGCTTATGGGGTTTCCTTGGTTGGGGACTCTCTTGGGACCTTCTCTCTCATCCCTCTCTTCCATCCCAACCTTTCTCTTGCTCCTCCAATTCCTTGTGAGATTCTTGAACTTTGATTGAACTTTTTGAGATTGAGTTAAGTTCTCCTCCTACAGCTTACCCCCCAGTGCGTCGAAAGATATAGCGTCGCGAATACTCCATCAATCGACATGATTCAAATTGAGAACGGTAGCTAGGATTACAAGCTACATCATATCCGATTTTGGCGACATTAAAACTGCTAGTTTTTCGTCGACGTCGTTTCTTGTGAAGACGACTTTTCTGTCCAGAATTTCGAATTTATGTTTTGAGTAATGCTAGCTCCTAAGTTCACCTAGACTCCGTCCTTAATCCTAACAAGTGGTATCAGAGCGATATTAAGGACATTAAGAGGAGTCTACAGAAGTTTGAAGACTTTTCTAGACCTACCATGGCCTGTGGGTGTGCATAAGTGGTGTTCTAAAGGTTGGATGTGTCTTCCGCTAAGGGGAAACTCTGCCGAAATTTCGTGGACGCCGACACTTGTGAAAATATCGAGGGAGCTGAGTGTGGACCGCAAAGGGGAGCTGAAATTCGTCATTTCTCAAGGAGAAGATGAATGAGAGAGGAGGAGATGCTAATGGAAGAGGAGCTGTACCAGAGAAGACAAGTGAGCTGCCGCAATCAAAAGTTGAAGCTTTGGATGGCTCCAACTATGAGGAATGGAGCGGGCGGATGAGAAGATGGCGGAAGAAGGCGAAGCACGTGAGCGGTGGATTGAGAAAAGCGCGGTGCTTTTTGACCTCATCCTTCAATCGGTCAACAAGGAGATGTTCGAGCACATCAAGGATCTTGTGGAAGCGGATGATTCAGGTCCAAGGGCGTGGAAACTACTACGCGATGTGATTCAGCCCAACACTCTCTTGATGGTGATTGTGCTCGAGAAGGAACTTGCTGCCATCTCCATGCGACCAGGGGACGATGTGAAGCCAGTCCTTGACAAGATCAAGGACACCTATGCAAGGATGGCAGCAGCGGGCAGCAGTGTATCTCAGCTGCAGCAGTGCACCAAGATCATCTCGGTGTTGGACAACTCTTGGGACAACCTCATCCCCACCCTCAACTCTCAGCAAGATCAATGGACACCTGAGTGGCTAAGGCAGCAGATTCTGCAGGAGGACTTCCGTAGACGCCATGTGGGAGGCGGTGCTGCCACTAAGACTGCTGAGGGGTATGGAGCTGCAGGGCGCGGCAGAGGAAGAGGGGGTTGGAGAGGCCGAGGCCGTGGGAGGAGCTTTGGCAGAGGTAGAGGCTGAGGTGACTAGAATGAGGGGCATGGGAGCTCTGGTGGTAGGGGGAGTACCAGAATGGAGGGCACCTGCTGGTACTGCAAGAAGGTTGGACATCCTTGGTTCAAGTGCTTCAGCAGGCCGGAGGGATGGGCACCTCCAGGCATGTAGCCGCCAAGTGGTGAACGCGCACAAGGTGGCGCTGTGCAAGGCTTAGGTGCACAAGGTGAAGGTGCATAAGGTAATACCTATCCTGGGATGTTTCTCATGGTTGAGGATGTGCATGGGCATGAGGGTGATGTGGGATCTGTAGGAAAGGTTGTGATGCACCCTCTCCCGCATTGGGTGATTGATTCAGGTTGCACCAGTCACATGACCCCACGGGCAGATATGCTTGATGAGGTAAAACCCCCTGGAAAGATTAAGTATGTGGCAGCAGCGTCAGGTGCTTTGCTCCCTGTGATTGGTGTTGGGAATGCCAAGGTTAAGGGAGCTAATGGGGAGCTTGTGGGGCTTGGGAATGTTCTGCTGGTTGAAGGTTTGTGTGCTAACCTTCTCTCTGTGCGGCGACTGCAGAAGAGCAAGGCCGAAGTGACCTTTGGACCAACCAGCTGCCGTGCTAAGCTTGGGAAGAAGGTGCTGTGGAGTCTGGAAGAGGAGACCAGCTGCATCAAGGACCTGTGGCAGCTGCCCATCATCCTTTGGAATGGGAAAATTCCAACAGCAGCAGCGGCAAAGGCAACAGCAGGAGGAGATGCAACTGCACCAACTGATGGGGTCCTGGAAGCAGTTAAGAAAGTGCAGCAGCAGCAGACACATGGTGAGGTGCTTGCTGGTGTGTATGCGAGTGCGGCATGGGCTAAGGCTTCATCAAGGAGTGGAGAGGCCGATTGGGAGACATGGCATGAGAGGCTGTGTCATGTGAACTTCCCTATGCTGCAGAAATTGGTGAAGGACGGGAGCCTGAAGGGCTTGAAGGTCAAGGGAGGAGTGAAGGAGATTGGGAGCTGCCCTACATGCTTGGAGACCAAGTTCTCCAAGTTCCCCTTCAACAGCACTACAGGACCAGCCAAGACCCCACTTGCACTTGTGCACATGGATGTGGTGGGGCCCACAAGAGCCCCTTCCCTCTCAGGCAACCGCTATTTCTTGACAATTGTGGATGACCACACTCGGGCAGTGTGGGTTTACCCTTTGAAGAGCAAGGGGGAGGTGGCAGCGGCTGTCCTTAAGGAGTGGATGCCTAGAGCTCAGAGGGAATGCGGACACAAGGTGAAGGTGATCCGCAGTGATAATGGTGGGGAGTTCATTGGAGCTGATTTTGAGGGGGAGTTGAAGAGGAAGGGGATCCAACATCAATTGACAGTGCCCTACAACCCGCAGCAGAATGGCGTGGCTGAGAGGTTCAACAGGACCCTGCAGGAGGGGGCACGCACTCTCCTTGGGCGTGCAGGGCTGCCTCATCCGTTTTGGGTGTCTGCACTGAGGCAGGTCACCCTTGTGAAGAACATGGTGCTGGCTACAGTTGGGGATAAGGAGTGGATCCCATATACCAAGTGGTATGGGAGTGCTCCAGCTGTGAACATGCTGAGGGCATTTGGGTGCATGGTGGTGTTTCATGTGCCTAAGGAGAAAAAGGGGAAGTTGGAGGCTTCTGGAAGATGGGGTGTGCACTTGGGGATTGCAAAGAATCGTTGGAGCTGATTTTGAGGGGGAGTTGAAGAGGAAGGGGATCCAACATCAATTGACAGTGCCCTACAACCCGCAGCAGAATGGCGTGGCTGAGAGGTTCAACAGGACCCTGCAGGAGGGGGCACGCACTCTCCTTGGGCGTGCAGGGCTGCCTCATCCGTTTTGGGTGTCTGCACTGAGGCAGGTCGCCCTTGTGAAGAACATGGTGCTGGCTACAGTTGGGGATAAGGAGTGGATCCCATATACCAAGTGGTATGGGAGTGCTCCATCTGTGAACATGCTGAGGGCATTTGGGTGCATGGTGGTGTTTCATATGCCTAAGGAGAAAAGGGGGAAGTTGGAGGCTTCTGGAAGATGGGGTGTGCACTTGGGGATTGCAAAGGATCACAAGGGGTGGCTGCTATGGGACTTGACCACCTAGAAGCTGACAGTGTCAAGGGATGTGAAGTTTCTGGAGTCCCTGTACTACAAGGAATGGAAGCAGCAGCAACAAAAGCTTCCATCTACACCGCTCATTGTGGAGGCAGGCCTTCAAGACAGGTGGAGGTTGCAGTGTCTGAGGAGGAGATGTCTGGGGTGACTGAGGAAGGGGGAGCAGCTGAAGTGGAGCAGCAGCAGCAGCAGCAGCATGAGTCTTCACCTCGAGTTCCACACCCGCCTGAGGGATCTAGGAGGGATGTGCGCCCTCCGGTGAGACTGACCTATGGGGGAAGAGGCAAGCCGAATGTGGTGCAGGCTGGGAGTGTGGTTGAGCAGATTGAGGAAGATGAGATTGCATTGTGCTATTGGGCTGCAATGCCTCAGCCTAAGGTACTGACGCTAGCTTCAACTCAGTGAAAGCGGATGGCACCAGCATTGGGGGTTATGTGTGCTTGGTGGGAGGTGGTGCTGTGAGCTGGCGCAGCAAGAAGCAGAATGAGGTGGGATTGTTCTCATGTGAGACTGAGTACATGGCCTTACACCATGGGGCCAAGGAAGTGGTGTGGCTGAGGCGCTTGTTGGAGGAGTTGGGAGTTGGTCAGGAGGAGCCGACAGTTGTCTTCTGTGACATTGAGTCTGCAGTGAAGCTGGCCAAGAATGCTTGTCTGCATGGGCTGACAAAACACATAAGGCCTAAGTGGCATTGGGTAAGGAGACTCCTTGATAAGGAGGTGCGGCTGGAGATAGTGAAGACCCATCAGCAGGCAGCAGATATTTTCACTAAGCGTCTGGCGGAGGCGGATCGTTGGAAGGGCATGAAGCTTGCTGAGATGAGTGTGCATTGAGTATGCATGCTTGCGATGTGATATGGTGGATGATGGTTGGATGAGGGGGAAATTGTTGTGTGATGTCATCATATGCTATCACATTCTGTCTGCCTCCCATGCCATGTTTTCAATTCGCATGTATGGTTAGACTGTGTATGAAAGAATTTGTGTGGTGTGTGTTCTGGAGCTTTGGAATGTGTTTTGTGTTTTTTTGTTTGAGCAGGTATTTTGTGATGATAGATCTTGAGAAGATCTTTCAGACGCAACAAGAATCGCTTCAATCGGAGCAAGAACGCGAAAGTTATGAAGATTCAAAGTTCATGAGCTTGCGTTACAATTGCGGCGGTTACAAAGTGAAGTTGTGGGGTGACTCTATATGGAGTTGTGACTATTGGGAGTTGGGGAAATTCGTCACTCTACTGTAGCAGCTGCAAAATTGGTTGGGAACAACCAAGCTAGGTTGGCAAGGGTGGCCAACTTGGTTGGATTGGTTGGGAAGGGACAAATGTCAAAGTTGGGGTTCCTATAGGGAGGGAATGTTTGTGCTTATGGGGTTTCCTTGGTTGGGGACTCTCTTGGGACCTTCTCTCTCATCCCTCTCTTCCATCCCAACCTTTCTCTTGCTCCTCCAATTCCTTGTGAGATTCTTGAACTTTGATTGAACTTTTTGAGATTGAGTTAAGTTCTCCTCCTACAGCTTACCCCCCAGTGCGTCGAAAGACATAGCGTCGCGAATACTCCATCAATCTGTTAGGATTAAGGACGGAGTCTAGGTGAACTTAGGAGCTAGAATTACTCAAAATATAAATCCGAAATTCTGGACAGAAAAGTCGTCTTCACAAGAAACGACGTCGACGAAAAACTAGCCGTTGGAATATCGCGAAACTTGGATATGTTGTAGCTCTTAATCTCAGCTACCGTTCCCAATTTGAATCATGTTGATTGATAAAGTATTCGCGACGCTATGGCTTTCGACGCACTAGGGGGTAAGCTGTAGGAGGAGAACTTAACTCAATCTCAAAGGTTCAATCAAAGTTCAAGAATCTCACAAGGAATTAGAGGAGCAAGAGAAAGGTTGGGATAGAAGAGAGGGATGAGAGGGAAGGTCCCAAGAGAGTCCCCAACCAAGGAAACCCCATAAGCACAAAGATTCCCTCCCTATAGGAACCCCAACTTTGACATTTGTCCCTTCCCAACCAATCCATCCAAGTTGGCCACCCTTGCCAACCTAGCTTGGTTGTTCCCAACCAATTTGCAGCTGTTACAGTAGAGTGACGAATTTCCCCAACCCCAAAGGTCCCAACTCCATATAAAGTCACCCCACAACTTCACTTTGTAACCGCCGCAATTGTAACGCAAGCTCATGAACTTTGAATCTTCATAGCTTTCGCGTTCTTGCTCCGATTGACGCGATTCTTGTTGCGTCGGAAAGATCTTCTCAAGATCTATCATCACAAATACCTGCTCAGACAGAATAACACAAAACACATTCCCAAACTCCAGAACACACACCACACAAATTCTTTCACACACAGTCAAACCATACGTGCGAATTGAAACAAGGGATGGGAGGCAGACAGAATGTGATAACATATGATGACATCACACAACAATCTCCCCCTCTGGCTGCCAACCATCAACCACCATACCAACATCTCAAGCATGCATACTCAATGCACACTCATCCCAGCAAGCTTCATGCCCTTCCAATGATCCGCCTCCGCCAGACGCTTGGTGAAAATATCTGCTGCCTGCTGATGGGTCTTCACTATCTCCAGCCGCACCTCCTTATCAAGGAGTCTCCTCACCCAGTGCCACTTAGGCCTTATGTGTTTTGTCAGCCCATGCAGACAAGCATTCTTGGCGAGCTTCACAGCAGACTCATTGTCACAGAACACAACTGTCGGCTCCTCCTGACCAACTCCCAACTCCTCCAACAAACGCCTTAGCCACACTACTTCCTTGGCCCCATGGTGTAAGGCCATGTACTCAGTCTCACATGAGGACAATCCCACCTCATTCTGCTTCTTGCTGCGCCAGCTCACAGCACCACCTCCTAGCAAGCACACATAACCCCCAATGCTGGTGCCATCCGCTTTCACTGAGTTGAAGCTAGCGTCAGTATAGCAACTCAAGAGCATCTTTCCACTCTTCACATCTGCAGCACCTCTCTGCAACCGCTGCCTCACTCCACTGTACTCCAATCCCACTGATGCCGTAGCACTCACATAGCGGACCAACCTCTTGGCCGCTTCCAGCTGCTCATGACTAGGGCGTGAGACCACACTAGCCAACCGTGATGTAGAAAATGCAATGTCAGGCCGTGTATGATTTGCAGCATAATTCAGCGACCCAACCATCGAATGAAACAGCTTCCTGTCACTCTCACCCACTACCTCCTCATCAGCACATGGCTCCACAGTAAACCCTGAAGGTAGTGGTGTTGCTGGCTTTCCCCCATCTTGCAGCCCATACTTCTCAGCCAGCCCCTCACAGTACTTCCTCTGGTGCAACCTCAGCACACCCTTCTCCACATCTCTCTCCACATGCATCCCCAAGTAGTACTTCACCTCACCCATCTTGGAGCACTTGAACTGCATCTCCAGCATCTGCTCTGCGCTGTCCAGCAAAGCAGTGGATGCAGAAAAGAGAAGGATATCATCCATATACACCAAGAGCATGAGGATTTCGTCCTTCTCCTGCAGCAGGAACAGGCTGGGGTCACACTCACTCTTCTTGAAACCCCCAGCCACCAGCGCCTCCTCCAACTTGTGATACCATGCACGAGGCGCCTGCTTAAGGCCATAGATTGCCTTCTTCAGCCTGCAGACCCTGCCGCTCCCATCATCCAGCCCCTCTGGCTGCTTCATGTACACCTCCTCCAGAATGATCCCATTCAGAAAGGCAGTCACAATGTCCATCTGCCGTATCTTCCATCCCAGGAGTGCAGCTATCGCCAACAGCACCCTCAGTGTTGTTCCTTTCCCCACAGGAGCAAATACCTCATCATAGTCCTTCCCCTTTGTCTGCTGAAACCCCCTTGCCACAAGCCTAGACTTGTAGCGGGTCAGCTCCCCTTCAGGTCCATACTTGTGCCTGTAGATCATCTTGGAAGTGATTGCCTTCTTCCCAGGAGGCAAGTCACACAGGTCCCATGTCTCGTTCTCAATTAGGGACCCGAACTCCTCATCCTCACTCGCCTTCCACTTCTCCCCATTTGGTCCATTCAAGGCCTCCTCTCGAGTCTTGGGCTCAGGGATTGGTGCCCAGTAGCAGTGAGCGATCTCATCTTCCTCAATCTGCTCAACCACACTCCCAGCCTGCACCACATTTGGCTTGCCTCTTCCCCCATAGGTCAGCCTCACAGGAGGGCGCACATCCCTCCTAGGTCGCTCAGGCGGGTGTGGAACTCGAGGTGGAGACTCATGTTGCTGTTGCTGCTCCACTACTTCAGCTGCTCCCCCTTCCTCAGTCACCCCAGACATCTCCTCCTCTGACACTGCAACCTCCACCTGTCTTGAAGGCTGCTGCACCTCATCTGCCTCCACAATGAGCGGTGTAGATGGAAGCTTCTGTTGCTGCTGCTTCCATTCCTTGTAGTACAGGGACTCAAGAAACTTCACATCCCTTGACACTGTCAGCTTCTGGGTGGTCAAGTCCCATAGCAGCCATCCCTTGTGATCCTTTGCAATCCCCAAGTGCACACCCCATCTTCCAGAAGCCTCCAACTTCCCTCTTTTCTCCTTAGGCACATGAAACACTACCATGCACCCAAATGCCCTCAGCATGTTCACAGCTGGAGCACTCCCATACCACTTGATATATGGGATCCACTCCTTATCTCCAACTGTAGCCAGCACCCTGTTCTTCACAAGGGCGACCTGCCTCAGTGCAGACACCCAATGTAGGGCACTGTCAGTTGATGCTGGATCCCCTTCCTCTTCAACTCCCCCTCAAAATCAGCTCCAATGAACTCCCCACCATTGTCACTGCGGATCACCTTCACCTTGTGTCCGCATTCCCTCTGAGCTCTAGGCATCCACTCCTTAAGGACAGCCGCTGCCACCTCCCCCTTGCTGTTCAAAGGGTAAACCCACACTGCCCGAGTGTGGTCATCCACAATTGTCAAGAAATAGCGGCTGCCTGAGAGGGAAGGGGCTCTTGTGGGCCCCACCACATCCATGTGCACAAGTGCAAGTGGGGTCTTGGCTGGTCCTGTTGCACTGTTGAAGGGGAACTTGGAGAACTTGGTCTCCAAGCATGTAGGGCAGCTCCCAATCTCCTTCACTTCCCCTTTCACCTCCAAGCCCTTCAGGCTCCCATTCTTCACCAACTTCTGCAGCATAGGGAAGTTCACATGACACAACCTCTCATGCCATGTCTCCCAATCGGCCTCTCCACTCCTTGATGAAGCCTTAGCCCATGCCGCACTCGCATCCACACCAGCAAGCACCTCACCATGTGTCTGCTGCTTCTGCACTTTCTTGACTGCTTCCAGGACCCCATCAGTTGGTGCAGTTGCATCTCCTCCTGCTGTTGCCTTTGCCGCTGCTGCCGTTGCTGCTGTTGGAGTCTTCCCATTCCAAGGGATGATGGGCAGCTGCCACAGGTCCTTGATGCAGCTGGTCTCCTCTTCCAGACTCCACAGCACCTTCTTCCCAAGCTTAGCACGGCAGCTGGTTGGTCCAAAGGTCACTTCGGCCTTACTCTTCTGCAGTCGCCGCACAGAGAGAAGGTTAGCAGACAAGCCTTTAACCAGCAGAACATTCCCAAGCCCCACAAGCTCCCCATTAGCTCCCTTAACCTTGGCATTCCCAACACCAATAACGGGGAGCAAAGCACCTGACGCTGCTGCCACATACTTGATCTTCCCAGGGGGTTTTACCTCATCAAGCAAATCTGCCCGTGGGGTCATGTGACTGGTGCAACCCGAATCAATCACCCAGTGCGTGAGAGGGTGCATCACAACCTTTCCGACAGATCCCACATCACCCTCATGCCCATGCACATCCTCAACCATGAGATACATCCCAGGATAGGCGTTACCTTGTGCACCTTCATCTTGCACAGCGCCACCTTGTGCGCGTTCACCACTTGGCGGCTTCATGCCTGGAGGTGCCCATCCCTCCGGCCTGCTGAAGCACTTGAACCAAGGATGCCCGACCTTCTTGCAGTACCAGCAGGTGCCCTCCATTCTGGTACTCCCCCTGCCACTGGAGCTCCCATGCCCCTCATTATAGTCACCTCGGCCTCTACCTCTGCCAAAGCTCCTCCCACGGCCTCGGCCTCTCCAACCCCCTCTTCCTCTGCCGCGCCCTGCAGCTCCATACCCCTCAGCAGTCTTAGTGGCAGCACCGCCTCCCACATGGCGTCTGCGGAAGTCCTCCTGCAGAATCTGCTGCCTTAGCCACTCAGGTGTCCATTGATCTTGCTGAGAGTTGAGGGTGGGGATGAGGTTGTCCCAAGAGTTGTCCAACACCGAGATGATCTTGGTGCACTGCTGCAGCTGAGATACACTGCTGCCCGCTGCTGCCATCCTTGCATAGGTGTCCTTGATCTTGTCAAGGGCTGGCTTCACATCGTCCCGTGGTCGCATGGAGATGGCAGCAAGTTCCTTCTCGAGCACGATCACCATCGGGAGAGTGTTGGGCTGAATCACATCGCGTAGTAGTTTCCACGCCCTTGGACCCGAATCATCCGCTTCCACAAGATCCTTGATGTGCTCGAACATCTCCTTGTTGACCGATTGAAGGATGAGGTCGAAAAGCACCGCGCTTTTCTCAATCCACCGTTCACGTGCTTCGCCTTCTTCCGGCATCTTCTCTTCCCCAACAGCAATCTTCAGTAGCTTGTAGCGTTTGAAGGCACTCCTCATCCGTCCGCTCCATTCCTCATAGTTGGAGCCATCCAAAGCTTCAACTTTTGATGGCGGCGGCTCACTTGCCTTCTCAGCTACAGCTCCTCTTCCATTAGCATCTCCTCCTCTCTCATTCATCTTCTCCTTGAGAAATGACGAATTTCAGCTCCCCTTTGCTGTCCACACTCAGCTCCCTCGATATTTTCACAAGTGTCGGCGTCCACGAAATTTCGGCAGAGTTTCCCCTTAGTGGAAGACACATCCAACCTTTAGAACACCACTTAGGCACACCCACAGGCCATGGTGGGTCTAGAAGGGTCTTCACACTTCTGTAGACTCCTCTCAACGTCCTTAATACAGCTCTGATACCACTTGTTAGGATTAAGGACGGAGTCTAGGTGAACTTAGGAGCTAGAATTACTCAAAATATAAATCCGAAATTCTGGACAGAAAAGTCGTCTTCACAAGAAACGACGTCGACGAAAAACTAGCCGTTGGAATATCGCGAAACTTGGATATGTTGTAGCTCTTAATCTCAGCTACCGTTCCCAATTTGAATCATGTTGATTGATAAAGTATTCGCGACGCTATGGCTTTCGACGCACTAGGGGGTAAGCTGTAGGAGGAGAACTTAACTCAATCTCAAAGGTTCAATCAAAGTTCAAGAATCTCACAAGGAATTAGAGGAGCAAGAGAAAGGTTGGGATAGAAGAGAGGGATGAGAGGGAAGGTCCCAAGAGAGTCCCCAACCAAGGAAACCCCATAAGCACAAAGATTCCCTCCCTATAGGAACCCCAACTTTGACATTTGTCCCTTCCCAACCAATCCATCCAAGTTGGCCACCCTTGCCAACCTAGCTTGGTTGTTCCCAACCAATTTGCAGCTGTTACAGTAGAGTGACGAATTTCCCCAACCCCAAAGGTCCCAACTCCATATAAAGTCACCCCACAACTTCACTTTGTAACCGCCGCAATTGTAACGCAAGCTCATGAACTTTGAATCTTCATAGCTTTCGCGTTCTTGCTCCGATTGACGCGATTCTTGTTGCGTCGGAAAGATCTTCTCAAGATCTATCATCACAAATACCTGCTCAGACAGAATAACACAAAACACATTCCCAAACTCCAGAACACACACCACACAAATTCTTTCACACACAGTCAAACCATACGTGCGAATTGAAACAAGGGATGGGAGGCAGACAGAATGTGATAACATATGATGACATCACACAACACAATCGACATGATTCAAATTGAGAACGGTAGCAAAAGATTAAAAGCTACAACATATCCGACTTTCGCGACATTCCAACAGCTAGTGTTTCGTCGACGTCGTTTCTTGAGAAGACGACTTTTCTGTCCAGAATTTCGGATTTATATTTTGAGTAATGCTAGCTCCTAAGTTCACCTAGACTCCGTCCATAATCCTAACAAGATTGCTTCGCTTCGCTTAGCTTCGCTTAGATTTGCTTAGCTTCACTAAGCTTCACTTCGCTTAGCTTAAATTCACTTTGCTTCGCTTCGCTTAGCTTCGCTTTGCTTCCCTTAGCTTCAGTTCGCTTCCCTTAGCTTCGCTTCACTTCGCATAGCTGCGCTTAGATTCGCTTTGCTTCTCTTAGCTTCGCTTAGCTTCGCTTCGCTTCGCATACCTGCGCATAGCTTCGCTTTGCTTCTCTTAGCTTTGCTTCTTTTCGCTTCGCTTCTCTATGCTTCTCTTCGCTTCGCTTCGTTTAACTTCCCTTCACTTCGCTTTGCTTTGCTTAGCTTCGCTTCGCTTCTCTTCGCTTCTCTTCCCTTCGCTTTGCTTAACTTCGCTTTGCTTCGCTTCGTTTAGCTTCGCTTCGCTTTGCTTCGCTTAGCTACGCTTCGCTTCGCTTCTCTTAGCTTCGCTTAGCTTCGCTTCGCTTCGCTTAGCTTCGCTTTGCCTCTCTTTGCTTATCTTCGCTTCGCTTCGCTTAGGTTTGCTTAGCTTCGCTTCGCTTAGCTTCTCTTAGCTTTGCTTAGCTTCGCTTCGCTTCCCTTAGCTTTGGTTCGCTTCCCTTAGCTTCCCTTAGCTTCACTTAGCTTCGCTGCGCTTCGCATAGCTGCGCTTAGCTTCGCTTTGCTTCTCTTAGGTTCGCTTCTCTTCACTTCGCTTCTCTTTGCTTCTCTTCGCTTTGCTTCGCTTAGCTTCGCTTCGCTTCTCTTCGCTTCGCTTCTCTTTGCTTCTCTTCGCTTTGCTTTGCTAAGCTTCGCTTCGCTTAACTCCGCTTCGCTTCGCTTAGCTTCGCTTGGCTTCGCTTAGCTTCGCTTAGTTTCGGTTAGCTTCGCTTAGATTCGCTTAGCTTCACTTTGCGTCGCTTAGCTTCCCTTAACTTCGCTTTGCTTCATTTAGCTTCGCTTAGCTTCGCGTAGCTTCGCTTCGCTCCGCACAGCTGCGATAAGCTTCGCTTTGCTTCTCTTAGCTTCGCTTCACTGCTCTTTGCTTCTCTTCGCTACGCTTCGCTTAGATTCGCTTAGCTTCACTTCGCTTCGCTTAGCTTCGCTTCCCTTTGCTTAGCTTCACTTCGATTCGCTTAGCTTCGCTTCACTTAGCTTCACTTAACTTCGCTTTGCTTTGCTTAGCTTCGCTTTGAATAGCTTCGCTTAGCTTCGCTTGGCTTTGCTTGGCTTCGCTTAGCTTCGCTTGGCTTCGCTTAGCTTCGCTTGGCTTCGCTTGGCTTCGCTTGGCTTCGCTTAGCTTCACTTAGCTTTGGCTAGCTTTGCTTAATTCGCTTAGATTTGTTTCGCTTCGCTTAGCTTCGCTTCGCTTCGCTCAGCTTCGGATACCTGCGCTTAGCTTCGTTTTGATTGTCTTAGCTTCGCTTCTCTTCGCTCCGCTTCTCTTTGCTTCTCTTATCTTCACTTCTCTTTGCTTTGCTTCCCTTTGCTTCTCTTCGCTTTGCTTCGCTTAGCTTTGCTTAGCTTCGCTTCGCTAAGCTTCATTTCGCTTAACTTCGCTTTGCTTTGCTTAGCTTCGCTTAGCTTCGCTGAGCTTTGCTTTGCTTCGCTTAGCTTCGCTCAGATTCGCTTAGCTTCACTTCGCTTCGCTTAGCTTCACTTCTCTTAGCTTCGCTTAACTTCGCTTTGCTTTGCTTAGCTTCGCTTCGCTTCGCTTAGCATCGCTTCGCTTCTCTTCGCTTAGCTTCACCTAGCTTCGCTTTGCTTCGCTTCGCTTCGCTTTGTTCCGCTTAGATTCGCTTAGCATCGCTTCGCTTCGCTTAGCTTTGCTTCGCTTCGCTTAGCTTTGCTTCGATTCACTTTCCTTAGCTTCGGTTCGCTTCTCTTTGCTTTGCTTCACTTCGCTTAGCTTTACTTAGCTTCGCGTCGCTTCGCATAGCTTCGCTTCGCGTTGCTTTGCTTCGCTTAGCTTCAGTTAACTTTGCTTTGCTTCGCTTAGCTTTGCTTCGCTTAGCTTCGCTTAGCTTCGCTTAGCTTCGCTTAGCTTCTCTTAGCTTCGCTTCGCTTTGCTTTGCTTCGCTTCGCTTAGCTTTGCTTCGCTTCGCTCCGCATAACTTCGCTTAGCTTCGTTTCAATTCCCTTAGCTTCGCTTAGCTTCGCCTCGCTTCGCTTAGCTTCGCATCGCGTCTCTTAGCTTCGCTTACCTTCGCTTCACTTCGCTAAGTTTCGCTTCCCTTCTCTTCGCTTCTTTTAGCTTCACTTAGCTTCGTGTTCGCTTCGCTTTGATATGCTTCGCATAGCTTCGTGTTCGCTTCGCTTAGCTTCTCTTCACTTCGCTTCGCTTAGCTTCATGTTCGCTTCGCTTGGCTTCGCTTCGCTTAGCTTCCTGTTCGCTTCGCTTAGCCTCGCTTCGCTTAGCTTCGCTTAGCTTCGCTTTGCTTCGCTTAGCTTCACTTTGCTTCGCTTAGCTTCACTTAGCTTCTCTTAGCTTCGCTTCGCTTTGCTTAGCTTCGCCTAGCTTCGCTTAGCTTTGCTTCGCTTCGCTTTGCTAAGCATTGCTTCGTTTCACTTTGCTTCGCTTAGCTTCGCTGAGCTTCGCCTAGCTTCACTTCGCTTCGCTTAGCTTCGCTTCGCTTCGCTTAGCTTCGCTTAGCTTTGCTTAGCTTCGCTTCGCTTCGCTTCGCTTTGCTTTGCTTCCCTTAGCTTCGGTTCACTTCCCATAGCTTCGCTTCGCTTAGCTTCGCTTAGCTTTTCTTCGCTTCGCATACCTGCGCTTAGCTTCGCTTTGCTTCTCTTAGCTTCGCTTCTTTTCGCTTCGCTTCTCTATGCTTCTCTTCGCTTCGCTTAGCTTCTCTTAGCTTCGCTTTGCTTCGCTTCGCTTCACTTAGCTTCGCTTAGCTTCACTTAGCTTCGCTTAGCTTCGCTTCGCTTCGCTTCGCTTCGCTTAGCTTCACTTAGATTCGTTTCGCTTCGCTTTGCTTCTCTTTGCTTCTCTTTGCTTCGCTTCGCTTAGCTTCGCTTACCTTCGCTTCTCTTTGCTTAGCTTCGCTTCGATTAGCTTTGCTTCGCTTAGCTTCGCTTAGCTTCGCTTCGCTTAGCATAACTTTGCTTAGCTTCACTTCGATTCCCTTAGCTTCGCTTAGCTTCGCCTCACTTGGCTTAGCTTCGATTCGCTTCTCTTCGCTTCTTTTAGTTTCGCTTAGCTTTGTGTCCGCTTCACTTAGCTTCGCTTCGCTTCGCTTGGATTGGCTTCGCTTAGCTTCGTGCTCGCTTCGCATAGCTTCTCTTCACTTCGCTTCGCTTAGCTTCGCTTAGCTTCGCTTAGCTTCATGTTCGCTTCCCTTAGCTTTGCTTCGATTAGCTTCGCTTTGCTTCGTGTTCGCTTCGCTTAGCCTCGCTTCGCTTAGCTTTGCTTCGCTTCGCTTAGCTTTGCTTCGCGTCGCTTAGCTTCGCTTTGCTTCGCTTAGCTTCGCTTAGCTTCTCTTAGCTTCGCTTCGCTTTGCTTTGCTTCGCTTAGCTTTGCTTCGCTTCACTCCCATTAGCTTCGCTTCGCTTCGCTCCGCATACCTTCGCTTAGCTTTGTTTCGATTCCCTTAGCTTCGCTTAGCTTCGCTTACCTTCGCTTCGCTTCTCTTCACTTCGCTTCGCTTAGCTTCATGTTCGCTTCGCTTAGCTTCGCTTTGCTTAGCTTCCTGTTCGCTTCCCTTAGCCTCGCTTCGCTTAGCTTCGCTTTGCTTCGCTTAGCTTTGCTTAGCTTCTCTTAGCTTCGCTTCGCTTTGCTTAGCTTCGCCTAGCTTCGCTTAGCTTTGCTTCGCTTCGCTTTGCTAAGCATTGCTTCGTTTCACTTTGCTTCACTTAGCTTCGCTGAGCTTCACCTAGCTTCACTTCGCTTCGCTTAGCTTCGCTTCGATTCGCTTAGCTTCGCTTCACTTCGCTTAGCTTCGCTTCGCTTCGCTTCGCTTTGCTTCGTTTCCCTTAGCTTCGGTTCGCTTCCCATAGCTTCGCTTCGCTTTACTTCGCTTAGCTTCGCTTAGCTTTTCTTCGCTTCGCATACCTGCGCTTAGCTTCACTTTGCTTCTCTTAGCTTCGCTTCTTTTCGCTTCGCTTCTCTATGCTTCTCTTCGCTTCGCTTAGCTTCTCTTAGCTTCGCTTCGCTTCGCTTACCTTCGCTTAGCTTCCCTTAGCTTTCCTTAGCTTTGCTTACCTTCGCTTCGCTTCGCTAAGCTTCG